CTGTCATTGCTTGTTTAATCATTCTGTAAGGACGCGGTAAAAGTGCTCGATCGGGGGAATATCGATCCGAACACCGCACTAAAATCTTGCATTTTGCATACAAAACGTACACAACCGCACAAAATCGCGTTAGAAAACGATTCTGAGGCGATCGATCCTTCACTTTTACCGCGTCCTAATTCCAACTTTTCCTAGTGAAACTCTTGCCGATTTCTCTCGTGTATGCGCAAGCACTAAGGAACTAAGCAAAGCTACAATCACTCCTAGTAGTTCGCGCCAACCCCCATAGTCTAGCTCACTACCGTTGTAGATTGACTCTCCACACACTCCACTTCGCCCACTCAAACAGGGTGACCCTAGCATCAATTGTTTTGCAATTGATGCCAAATTCTCTTGAGATCCTGGCTTAAAAAAACTGATTTTAATCTAAGCGCACCTATGCTAACATCCGGGGCTATCAGGCCCTCATATTCGTTTTTAGCTTGTTTGGTTCATCAGACTCTCACAAAGTTGTAGTCTGAATATGACAGAGTTGCAAAAAAAAAAAGGCTAAAAGTTCAGAGTGTGCTAAAATAAAAGTCTGAAAGATTCAGAATCACCGCCTACAACAAGTCTGATTGTCTTTCTAGCTGTCTTGCTGAACTCTTGGTCTTCTTTGAACTACGTAACGTACATTGCAAAATCCTACATACAAAATGCTACTTGCTTTGCTTAGCCAGAGCTAGAACTACCCTATTTATGTATCCTAGCACTTCAACATCCTACTAATCCTCCTCTCCTAGACTCCTACTCATTAAATCCATCATCATCATCGCTGTCAACTACATCTTGCTCATCTTCTAGGTCAACTACTTCCATATCTTCATCTGCCTCCCTGCCCTTCTTGTTGTGTTGCTTTCCTGCAGGCGGGAGTGGAGCGTTTCTCTGGGGCTTGCGCTTCTTGTAACTCCTCCAGACGGTCACAATCTCATCCCAGTCGGGGGCGTAATCCATCAAGCTCATGCACATCAGGTCCCCCAGGCGAGCATCCTTAAGCGCGCCCCTCTTCCACGACTTAATGATGTTCTGGCGGGAGAACCCCTGCTCGTACTCCATGGTGCTCAGCGGCAGTACAGCAACCGCCACCCACAGGAGCACCAAGTTGGGGTAGTTCTCTCGCCAGTCAGGAGTCTTGAGCATGGCAGTGAGACCCGCGTGAAAACTGCGCTCGCCCTTGGTAGATGCTGCAAGCACCGAAGTGAACATGCGCAGCTCCTTCTCTGCCCAGCGCTTGTCAATTCCTGACGGGATAGGAAGTATAACAGGGGGAGCAAGCTCAGAATCCAAATTCAAACATTCATTGAAGCATCACATGCAATAGAAACGATGCATCGAGGTAGCCTGATATTAAAACCAAGCTGCTTAATGGCTTACCTGGCAGGATCTCATCCGTCAGGTTGGCCTTGAACAGCGTGACAAGCGACTGAAGCCACTCGAGGCACCTGCGGTTCCTCTCTCCACGCTCCAGCCAATACTCATCGGGGGTGAAGAGCCTAGCGCCGGACATCCCGTTCAGGTCGCCAAGCCGGTGCTTCAGTTGGTGCACGATCACCTTAGCGAACTCTGTGCAAACCTCCACACAGCCATCGTGGGTGCCGGACCCTTCGAACTCCTCCAGCTTGTCCTCGTGCAGCACGAATTTGAAGCGTGCTGGTCGGCCGTCCGAATCAATCCCTTCAACCTTCACCTCCCGGTTTCCTTCAGGCCCATGGCGCGCGATGAAGGGGGACAGCAGCTCGCTCACGCCGCCACCGAAGTCGTCTCCGCAGTCGACGTAGCGGCTCTCGACGTGGGATGTTGTACGCTTGATCTGCGCATGCACGCTGGCATAATCAAGCTGGAAAGAAACACGTGGAAAGGTGGTTAGTGACTGAAGGTTAGAAGAAACGAAGCTTGCATTAGCACAAATACTTAACAACTAGTAACAAGAAACCAGAGCTTACCTCCTTGTGCTGGAAGGCCATGTTGAGTATTTTCAGCTGCTCAAGCACATCTGCAATGAAAAACAGGAGGAAATGAAACCTGTAGCTCGTCACCAGCGCATAGAGCGTCGCGTCCCACTCCTTCAACATCACGATGAGAGCCGGAAGGACGGCGACGAGCCTGAGCACTGCGTCGCCCCGCGAAAGCCAACGGACTGCATGGATCCCTTGCACCTCCAATGAGGTGGAGGTGAAGACTTCCTGCAGCCCCATGAACCGCTGATGCCATGGCCCACTTCGACCGAGATGCTCAGCCACGGTGCGGATCACCGTGTCAATGACGTTGAAGGCGGGAATCTTCTCTGCGGCTGTTTTAGCCGCCAGTGCCTCCCTATAAAAACAAAAAGGGAAACATTAGTCACTTGTACCCGTTAAAAAGCTTCAAAAACACCCTATTCACCTACAGGCATACCTGTGCGCGATGCAGTGGGATGACACCAAATGGGGGATGCGCACGCGGAGGCGTGTCGTGAGGCCGCCCTTGCAGCCCATCATGACGTTCGCGCCGTCGGTACTGATGCCTGCAATGCGCTGCAGGTCGACCCCGACTGCCAGCAGGTGTGATAGCAGAACGCCCTGAAGAGAAGCGGCGTCGGCCTTCTCCACGGCGAGAAGCGCCATGAACTCCGTGACGACCTTGAAGTCACGGACGAAGGTGATGAACAGGATCATGTGCTTCCCGCTGCACCTATCCGTGCTCTCGTCAATCGCGATGCCGACGAAGGCCGACGACAGCACATGTTGCAGCTGTGTTGTCTGGAGCCATGTAGCTGTAGCTTGTGTCAGCTCACCAAAGCCGTATCTGCACATGGAACCAATAGTCAGTAACAAAGTAGTTAGAACATTATTAAAACGTGGGTGTTTGTAAAGAGGCGTACGGCAGTTGCACTCACGTGGTGTAGTAGGTGCCGTACCCTCTCTTAGGGGAGCCTTGCACGCCCTTCTCCGACAAGTACCGCACCAGTTTCACCCACATCCCCATGGGCGCGTCGGACCTGCTGATAAACAGCAAAGAGTTAAGAAGGGTGACGGTCCGCATCTTCTCATTGTCCACCGCGGCGCGATGTTGGTCGATCTGTGGCTGCCGTCCACCGCACTCCTCTTCAGATTTCTGTCTCTCAACCGCCAGCTTGTGCTTCGCCGTGCCAGCGTGTTTACGGAAAGATTGTGTCTGTAGGTCGGTGGCGCCTCTCCCGCGCCTCTCACACTTTCCTGCATCGCCAGCATAGGCTGCACAAACAGTACACTTGAACGCAGGCAAGCCGGTAGTGGTTTTATTGATCCTGAGTCACGGAAAACGGGTAGACCAATGATTTTTGAACTTGTCAATCGCTTCGTCGTAAACTCCCTCGATGAGCTCGGCCAGATTGATGTTGAGGCGAGGTCGCGGTCGGTCAGATGTTCCGGAAGCGTTGTTGACGTTGGCAGTTGACGACGCAGGTTTGCCGAAGGTCAAGCTCGCCTGCTTGAGACGGATCGTGCGCGCCGTGGTCTGAGTTGGAATCTGCGACTGTGAATCGACGGTTGGTTCCGCAGATGTCTCTGCCATATGGTCGGCAGAAAGTGAGAAAACTGGAGCCGCGGGTGCTTTCTGTATGGAATCGTATCGGGCGTGGCGCGTGCAGCTTTATCGAGATCTAGTGTAGTAAGCAAGAAGTCCAAGCCTGTTAAGGCAAGCCGCTCATCAGGGTCGTCGTCGCCTGTGGCGGGAATGTCCAGCACCGCCATGGCGGGGCTGTGAAAGAGCCTGCCGAGCAGGAACTAGAGAGATGATGGCTGAGGCAAAACTGGGCACTGGCTTGGGCCCATGAGTTGAAGTTGAGGGGTGTGGATGATACCCTAGCACAAACACGAAGGCCCTTTACCAAGATGGGGTGGTTGCCTACCATGCACGGCAACGACAAGGCGCATCGTTGCAGTGTGTGGTGTGGATGTTGCAGCATCGTGGTACACAATGCTGCCTAAAGGACCATCTGCTTGCCATCACGTTTACGTGGGTGGCAACTGCTGCAGCATCTTGTACAGGGGTGGTAGTGGAGTTCGTGACGGTGGACAAAAGATGCCAAACGCACCAATCAGTGCGCAACGAGGGTGTGAGCTGGAGCATACACCGAGGGAAAGAACGCGCCGCAGGGCGGGTGAAACATCCAGCTGTACGAGGGAAACATCGGGCCGCAGGGCGGCGGTACAGGTACAATGTATGTACCATAGCTAATCCTGGGTATCGGCGCGCAGGTAGATTCATTCAGAGTCGGAACTCGTTTGTACTCTGAATTCATCAGAGTACACTCCCGGAAAACTCTGAAACGTCAGAGTCCGAGTATAGAAAAATCTGATTTTCACAGAGTTGACACCAAAAAAAAAAAATCTGAATTTTACTGAGTACACCCTAAAAAAAATCTGAAATCTCAGATTAAAACAAGCAAATCAGGCAAAAAACTCTGACTTCTGGGGGCCTGGGGGCTATACAATAGGTCGTAAAAACAGATCAGGCCAGATTGGTCTGGTAACAGGACCCTGCTTTATACCCATTGACAAATGTTGTTTTACTAATGCCATGTGGCAGATACACTGACTTGCAACATGTTATACAGACAAGCAGATCAAACATTTAACCTAAGGTACTACTGACATTACAGGGCAGTCACTCAGAAAAGAGAGAATCAACAGCACTGGATATTTGATTTGCAGACAGCTGACCAGACGCGACATCCCGAACCAAAGCAGCCAATTGCTGCTGACGAGCCACAGAGGATGAGAAGAAGTTCCCAGGGTGAGTGTTGCGCCCATGAGTCTGAGACGCCAGTAAAGAAATGTTGCCAGCCATAGCAGGTCTGCCATTGTTGTGTGTGCCCACCATGCCTGCTCCCTGCACACCTGCTGAGGTGCCTGACCATCGCCTACTGCCTTGATCACTGTTGTTCACTGCTCCTGCTCCTCCCCTTCTACCCCCCGCTGCTGCTGCCGCTGCCGCTGCTGCTATTGTTGGCGGTGGAGATGGTACGGGTACTCTGGGGTAGGGCATGGGCCCTGGCATTGGCATGCAGAGTGAAGTTGGGGGGTGTGGGTTCCATGGTAGGGGGGCTGATACAGGAGCTCCTGCAGCTGGAGCAGCTACTGAAAGGTAAGGAGCTGGGCCAGAGGCACACAGTGGTGCTGGCAATGCTGCTGCTGCTGCTGGAGCAGGTGGTGGTGCTGTTAGCGCTGCTGTTGGCACTGGTGAAACACGTGCTGGTGCTGGGAGTGGCTGTGTGTGCACTGCAGTTGAGTGCAATCGAGAGCGGCTCAACAAGCCAGCACCACCCGCAGCAGCCCCTTGTGAAATGCCCCCAAGGTGAATATTTGCGCCTCGCCCCCGGCCCATGCTATTGCGCATTGAGTGAGCCGATACACGTGGCGGCCCCCCTGCATGGCCACTGCCATAATCAGCACCTTCTGCTCCCTGCCCCTCCCCGCCTCGCCTCTCCCCCACCTGTCCCGCCTTGCCCCTGCCTCTTCTGAACCCAGCTGCAGGTGCGGATGCTGGGAGGGAGGGCGGTAGGGAAGGTGCGGACGGGGCAGGGAGAGGTTGCGGGGAGTGGTGCGCAACAGACGATGCAAGCGAGAGAGAAGAAGCCTGGGGAGGATCCGGGCTGGAAAATGCAGAAGAGGAGAAGGCAGGAAGAGGGAGAATGGTAAGTCCGGGGTGGAGGTTAGGATGGGAGAGTAGGGGAGGCCTGAATGGAGGCTGCATAGGATCAGGAGGGGGGGCAAGTAGGGAGGAGGCATTCGGTGCTGTTAGGTTGAGAGAGGTATTGCTGGGGGCGAACGCAGCAGCAGCAGCTGACATGTGAGGCCCAGTAACGGGTGCAGCTGGCACAGTATTAGTGTACGTGGCTCCTGCTGCTGTTGCTTCCCTGTCCGCTGCATGTGCGTTGGTGGGAGAGCAGGGCGGAGAGTCATCCAGCACAACCACTTCGCCTGGTCGAAACCTCGCTTTCACCTCCCCTGCTACTCCTTCTCCTCCTGCTCCGCCGCCGCTGTCTCTCCACCCTTGCTCCCCACCATATGGAGGCGCAACAGCAGAGGGTCCAGCTGCTGTGCCTCCTAGCACGGGGGCTGCTGCTGTTGTGCAACCACCTCCTGCACCCACTGGCACTGCTTCTAAAATGGCCCCTCGCACTGCTCCACTTGCACCTGCACATGCACCTGCAGCTGCTGCAGTCCCTGGTGCTCCCAAGGCCGCGGTCACATTATTTCCACGTGCGGCTAGGGTGTGCTGAGGCAATGGGTCACTGGCGCTACCCATACTTCCCGGCTGCAAACACATTCCCCCGCTCTGCCCTGGGAAGTTGCCAGCTGTGCCAGTAGGTGCAGATGATGCAGGTGGCGTAGTGGGAGCAGGGTGGGAGAGAGGGAAGGAACGAGGCAGCGAGGCATGCTGTGCTGTGGAGGGGCCTGCATGGGCCCACTCATGCTGCCTGGTTGGTGGAGTAGAGTGCAGTGACGGGGATGGGGATGACAGATGTAAGGCAGCATGGTGCTGGTGAGTGTGTGAACTAGAGTGCGAGGGAGGTGCATGTGCGTGTGCTGGGGGTGCATGTGTGTGCATGTGGGCGTGCATGGGCCGAGCCAGAGGCATGGGGGCACGATTTGAAGGCATGAGAGGGACGTTAGGTACTGCTTCTGCACTCCCTGACCATCCTGTTGCCCCCACTGCTCCCCCTGTTTCTGCTCCTGTCGTGGTTGGTGCTGCCACATGCTGCCCTCGCATCCCCAGCCAGCCAGACATGCTGCCAGCCAAATGGCGAAGGGCCAGAGGCGGAGGTGCTCTCAGAGGCGATACCATGTGCGCAGCAGAGGGGGACGAAACAGCAACGGTTGGCGTCCCAGCAGCAGCAGGAGCAGCAATGGGTGTGCTGGTATTGACAGCAGTGGTGCTGGTGTGGATGGGAGCAACGGCAGCGGCGTTAGCCCAAGATGTGGCGTGCGATGCAGTGGCAGGTGGGGTAGGACGAGCAGAGCCAGCTTTGCGTGGGAGCACAGACCCAGGCGCAGGAGGAGTGGACGTAGAAGCAGCAGCAGCCGCATCAGCATCAGCAACAGTATGAGGAGGAGTGGTGGTGCAAGGAGTTGAGGAGGCAGGGGAGGGAGAGCAAGGGCGGGTGCCCATGACTAGAGGTCGGCCCATAAGCCACACCACCACAGGCTCTTGCTCTGCTTGCACTGCCTGTCCACTGCCACGGCACGCAGCAGCACCAGTGCCATCACCAGTGCCAGCGGTAACAGCAGTACCAGCGCCAGTACCAGCAGCATCAGCAGCAGCAGCAGCAGCACTAGCAGCACCAACTCCTCCAGATAGACCTGCCTCACCCTTTGCCGTGACTGCCCCGACCCCACTCGTTTCTCCACATGCCACTGCCGCTGCCTCTATGCCTCCTGGTCTCTCCCCTCTGCCACAGGCCGCTGCCTCTTCCCCCTCATCTCTCTCCTCCTCACCATCCTCCAGCTGTGGCACCTCCACGCTCATCCACTGCCCACTTTGCCCATCCGGCCTCCCTGCACTCCCCTCCGCCCTGCTGCCAGGGGGGCTGTGCTTGCCTGCAGGTCCCTGGCTCCCCGCCTTCCTCTGCCGCATGCAGCCACTAGCAGCAGCTGCAACTGCTGCTGCATCTGCAGCAACAGCCGCAGCAGCAGCAGCAGTGGCAGCAGCAGCAGCGGCGTTGGCAGCTGCAGCAGCAGCAGAAGCAAAGGCAGCATCAGCGGAACCAGGAGCAGTGGTGGGAATGCGCATGGTTCTACTGCTGTCCTCCTCACCATCCTCACCGTTCACCACCACTCCTAGCCCATCCCTATCCTCCACACTCTCTTTTAGCTCGTCCATCCCATCATACCTCCCAACCCTAGCCTTCCTCCAACGCTTCTCCCTCTCCTCCTCCTCCGTCCTTCCCCCTACCTCCTTCTCCTTCTTCTCTCCCCCACTGTCCCTTGCAGCAAAAGCACCTGCCTCCCTGTCCGCATTATCTCTCCCCTCCCCCTCCCTTTCCTCCTTCTCCCGCCCCTCTCTCTCAGCAGCAGGATCTACCGCGCCAATGCCGGCCAGCGTTGCTTGCTGCAAGTCCATCTCTTCAAACGCCGACACGGCAGACAGCAGAAGAGACATGGGCTCGCAAGGGGACACAGGAGCGAACGCGCGGGGGCCACGCCCACCCTCACCTGCACCCTCACCCTCACCTGCACCTGCACCTGCACCTGCACCTGCACCTGCATCTCCCATCGCCTCTCCTGCTTCACCACTAGCGTCCCGCCTCTCCTCACCATCTTCACTCCCTTGGCTATCTCGATTCCTCCTTGCCTCCTCTTCTTCTTTCTCCTCCGGCTCCCCCTCCCCCTCCTGCACTTGCCTTCCCTCCTCTGCATCATCGCACCCCACTCCTATCAGAGGACTCCTGCCTTCCCTCCGGCTATCAGAGGACTTGCCAGAGGCACTCCTGCCTTCCCCCCCACTCCGAGCTTCCTTCCCACTCCGCCTACCCCCTTCCACCCTCTTCACTGCACTCGTACTTTCATTGTATTGGGGGACCTCACCAGCCCCTCCCTTCCCCTGCATGCTCCCCTTCCCTTGCAACTCTGAATCCCTGTGCCCGTCATCCCCCTCTCCTTCCCTCTCCCCCGTCAACCCTCCATCCACCCTCAGTCGCTTGCACGTGCCACCACTGGTGCTTTTGCTCTTCTCAGAATCCAATCCAGCCCAATCCCTCTTCTTCCCTCCACCATCCACACCATCCCACCCTCTCTCCTCTGTGCCATGTTCACTACTCGTATCCTCGCCCTTACCCACGACACCCTTACCCTGTGCATGCCTAATGACCTTACCCGCCCCTACACCCTTCCTCTCACCCATCTCGCGCCCCCCTTCACTACCAGACCCCGCCCTCTCCCCTCGCCTCCTCTTCTTCCCTCTAACACCTTCCACCTCCTCCTTCTCTGCTTTCACCTCCACATCTCCTGCCTTCTGCCTGGCCCTGCTACGCCCCCTCCTCGCCTTCTCCCCCTCGCGCTGCTCCCGCTCATACCACCCATCGTCCAGTGCCCAGAACCCTCGTTTCCACCCGCCCATGCCATCTGCCACCCGCGCACTCCTCCGTAGCGGCACGCCTGCCTCTCTCTCGCTGCCGCGCCTCCTGCTCTCATCACCTGCCGGTTCCCCCCTGCTTGACCTTGTCCGGACACCAACACTCCCACCTGCAGCAGCAGAAGCAGGCGCAGGCGCAGCAGGAGCATCCCCTCTGCGTGCCTTCTGTGTCACACCCGCCTCTGCTGCTGCTTCGCTCTCAACTGTCTCACTCTCTGCTAGCGCTCCTTCTCTAGCTTCCCTCTTACTCCCCTGTCTCGGGTTCTCCTGCCCTTGCACCTGCTCTGATGCCACCTCCTCCCGGCTTCCTTTCTCCTCCTCATCCCCGCTCTCACCAACCACCCAGCACCCCTCGTCACCCCTCCCCTCCTCCGCAGCATCATCTGTGCTTGCTGCTGATGCACCCACTGCACTGCTCTCGCCTCCCTTCCTGCCACTATGTTCCTTAAAATGACCCTGACCGCTTGTGGGCTGCAAGGCAGAAACATTCCCTTCCCGTTCACCTTCCTTCGCCTTGACTGCACTGAGTCCTCCCTTGTCACTTAACCCTTTTTGCTCCTCAGTGAGCTGTTGACAATTTTCCGCTTTAAGCACTTCAACCCCATCCTCTTCACTTCTTATGTCCTTAGCCTCGTTATAAGCACTTGCAGTCTTCTTTACCTCCTCCGCCCCCTGAGTGGTCCCTTGCATGACTTCAGATAGTGGCACATTTCGGGAATCCAGCTCACCAGCAACACCACCAGCACCAACAACAGCACCAACAGCAAGAACACTAGTGGTGGCACCAGAACCGCTAGCACACGCAGCAGAAGTAGAAGCGGTGGCAGTGGCAGCAGTGGCAGTAGTGGCACCGGCAGCGGTAACAGCAGTGGTGGCAGCAGGCACAGCAGCAGTCCTATCTAGTTGCACATCATCAGAGCTTGCAGCATCAGCAACCGCCCCATCCTTCACATCCACCACATGCCTCCCACTGCCCGCACTGCCCTCTCTACCCTGCTGCTCCTCGCACGCCCCTCCGCCTGTCCCATCCCCTGCTGATCCCTCCTCCGCTGATCCATTCTTGCCTGAGCCTGCAGCATCTGAGCCCATGGCTGCCTGAGAGCGACTCCGCCTCCAGCTTATTGCACCAGCTGTGGCACCACCAGCTGTGGCCGCGCTCTCTAGCATGTCTGAACCTGCATCCTCTCTCCCACCCGCTGCTTCCCAGCTCGCCTCGCACCTCCTGCGCTTCTTACAGCTTTCTTCTCTTCCCCCTTCCTCCACTGCCCTCTCTGTCTCCCCTCCCTTCCCTGTCTCCCCTCCCTTCCCTGTCTCCCCTCCCTTCCCTGTCTCCCCTCCCTTCCCTGTCTCCCCTCCCTTCCCTGTCTCCCCTCCCTTCCCTGTCTCCCCTCCCTTCCCTGTCTCCCCTCCCTTCCCTGTCTCCCCTCCCTTCCCTGTCTCCCCTCCCTTCCCTGTCTCCCCTCCCTTCCCTGTCTCCCCTCCCCCTTCTGCCACCCCTGCCTGCTCTGCTTCTTCCCCCGCCCGCTCTGCTTCCTCTCCTGCCTTACTCACCAAACCCACTGTGCTCGCCACTGCCCTTACACATTCACTCCCCTCAACCTTGCCACTCGTATGCTCCCCTCCTTTCACATCTCTCTCAATCCGCATGCCCCACTCACCATCCTCACGCCCCTCCTCCACACCCACGCCTCTGTCCCCTCCTCCCCTCCCATCTCCATCTTCCTTCCCTCTCTGCTCCTCTGTATCCCCTACATCTGTCTGCACTGCTGCTGTGATCCCCCCTCTCTGCATCTCCCCTTTCCACTCCACTGCGCCCTCGTTCTCCCCTCCACCACTCCCCGGGCACGGCACTCTGGTGCTTTCCTCCCCATCTGCATTCTGCATTGTGCCCTCCCCATGCTTCTCCAGCTCAGTTGCTCCTGTCAAGGGGCGAGCTGCTTCTCCGTTGCGTAAACACGTGGCTGTTTCTGGCTTCTTTGCATCAGCTGGAGCAGAAACAGGATCAGTGGGAGCAGCAGTCACGGAGGTTGCAGCAACGGTAGAAGTGCCAGCGGAAATTGCAGGAGACGAAGACGCAGAGAGATGTGAAGGAGCAGTAACAGTAGGGAAATCAGCAGAAGCGTCACCAGATGCAGCAGGAGCAGGAGAAGCAGAGGGGGGTAGTAGAGGAAGGGGAGGGGGAGGACAAACAGGAGGAGGAGCATGGGGAGCAGGAGGAGGAGGAGGAGGGGGGAGAGGAGGAGCAACCAAGGGATCAGCAACAGGAATAGAAGCAGCACCAGTAGGACGGGGAGGAGGAAGCGAAGAAGACACAGCAGTGAGAGGAGCAGAAGGAATCACAACAACAGATGTAACAGCAGCTGTAGGAATAGTTGAAGGAGGAGGAGCAACAGGGTCAGGAGCAGCAGGGACAGAAGAAGTTGCAGAAGCAAGAGCAGCGGAAGATTCAGCAACAGCAGCATCAGTAGGGGGGCCAATAGCAGCAGCAGCCTGAGTAGTATCAGTGGGTGAAGCAATCGCAGCAGCGGCAGCAGACGCAGCAGCGGCAGCAGTCGCAGCAGCGGCGGGAGTAGCAATAGCAGCACCAGCAGCAGCAACAGCAGCAGCAGAAGCGGCAGCAGCGAAAGGAACAACAGCAACGGACTCTGCAGCAGTTGCATCAGCTGTTTCGCCAACGTCCCCTGCTCCCTCTGCGAGCCTCTCTCTTTTCCTCGCTCCCTCACCGCCCTTTGCATTTGCCCCACCCGCAGCTCCCATCCTTGCCACTGTTGATGCTCCACAATCCAGTGAAAGAGACGACGAGGGAGAGGCTGCTGGAGAGTGTGAGGCAGAAACAGGAAGGGAGGATTGGGACGGGCGCAAGGGATGGGAGGCAGCAGCGGCAGCAGCAGGAGCAGCAGCAGCAGCAGCGGCAGAAGCAGAAGATACGGGGAGTGAGGGAGGGCATAACAGGTCTAGAGCAGTGCACACGGGTGTGACAGCGGAGCCCTTCACAAGAGGGTCCTGTGGGTCATTGCACCGGCCTCCACACTCTTGCCCCTGCACACGCCCCTCATCTCTACCCTTGATATCATCACCTCCTCTGCTCTCCTTTTGCTGCTGCCCCTGACCCATTCTCAAATCCCCCCCCTTGTGCTCGTGCGGTCCTTTCTCCCCCTGGGACTCGCCTGCATGTCTTTCTGGCGAATGGGCCCTGCACGCCTGCCTGCTGCCACCAGTCCGCGGGCTTGACGGGGCTTCCTGTTTAGCAGGCGCGGGTGAGGAGGCAGGGGGCAGGCAGGCGCGGGGGAGGACGGAAATGGAAGGGAGGGGATTGAGAGGAGAGCATTGTGGTGCACAAACATAATCAGTCGCATGATGGAGCATAGGGCGAGAATTCGTCGTGCCAGGGTCAACCTGTGTAAAACGGGGCCGCCTTGGCATGGCTCACACAAGAATTTCTGGCTCTTCTCTTTTCACCTAGTCCAAGTGCCCTCTGTATGACCTACCTCTGTCTGTCTCCATGCTGAAGAGCCCTCTGATGATCCCTAACCCTGTGCAAATAAAAAGCACATCAAACCTACATGTACTTGACATGAACCGAACCGAACCGAACCAGACCAAACCAAACCACACCGAATCGAACCGACCCGGTTCGACTCGAACCAGGGCCGTTAGTTGAAAAAAAAACTTGCGGGACCGGGATGGTCCGAGGCGAGTTGGCTTGAAACAGAAGCACATTAACATACCACAACACTCAAGCCTATTCAGCACAGGCCATGTCATGTTATGATGGTGAGACCCACCGTTACACCATCTGCAGAAGAACCCTTCTCTTGCCCTTCCCGATGCCGCTCCCCGCCCTTCGCCACGCCCTGCTCTCCACACTCCTCCCTGCCTTGCATTGCCTGCCCCTCTCCCCACTCCTCGACCCGGGCCCTCTCCTTCCCTCCATCCACACAGACCCCCACACAGCTCTCCCCTGCCTGCGTCACACTGGCCTCAATGCGTCCTCCTGCCTCTTCCTCCTCCACACGAATGGCAGCAGCATCGAGGCGTTCGTCCCCAGCACCTTGCACAGCAGCCGAGACCTGCCCCGCTGCACCAGTCGTCGGCATCTCTTCCCCCGCACCCTCCGCACCCTCCGCACCCTCCGCTCCCTCCTTCGTTGCACAGGCATCACTTGCCCTCATATCAACACTTTCCTTTTCCTCCGATACCTTGCCACTCACGTGCGCTGCCTCTTCCTCATGCGGATCCTCCTCACCCCCCCTTTCCTGCATCGCACTCTCCTCCGGTTCCTCCTTGATCAGACTCCTACCTCCTGCTCCCCACCTACCACCACACTGCCTGCCCCCTCTTCCCCTCCCACTCCCTCGCCCTCTTCCCCTGTCCATTCCCCCCCCTCCATCCCTCTTCCACCTTGCACCCACTGCTCCCTTCCCTCTTCCCCTCCTTCCCCCATCGCTGCCCCTCTCTCTCCCATCTTCACACTGTCCCTTGCCCACCTCATCCTCTTGCCCATCTTCCTTATCCTTCTTTCCTAATCTGTCCCCATCACCACACCCATCAACCGCAGATTTCTCCTCTTGCCCATCCTTCCTTAAAGCATCTCCATCCGCCTCCCCTCTCCCTTCTGCAGTCGCCTCCTTTTTCACCTCTCCGAACCCCTCCGCATCCCCCTCGAGTTTCACCTCTCCAGTCACCCCACCAGCGCAAGCACCCTCCTCCTCACCAGCAGCGCCATCAGCAGCAGCAGCAGGGCGGGGCGAGGGAAGATCATACGCTTCCCACGGCCCTCTGCACGCGCGCGCCACAGCTCCCAGTGCACGAGGCCTGCTGCTGCTGCCCTTGGCAACGCGGGTCACCCGCGTTGACCGCTGCAGAATGTCGCTCCAGCCACACAGCTTCGGCACCCTCACGCTTGCATGCCCACCTGCTGCAGGGGCTGCTGCTGCTGCTGCTGCTGCTTCTGCTTCTGCTTCTGCAGCACTAGTAGCAGCAGCAGCACCATGTGCGGTGGCACTGTCAGCACCCTGCTCTCCTGGAACCACCCTCGCACTAACCTCCTTCACACCACCGCCGCCACCCATCCCCCCATCCGCACGTCCCACAACACCCCCCTCTTCCTCCTCTTCCTCCCTCGCACTGAACCTTCCCAGCTTTATCTTCACAGCACTCACCACTGCCTTCCCACCACCACCAGCCCCGTCCTTTGGACGCACCACACAGTCAGTCTCCTCCTCATCCTCCTCCTCCTCCTCCTCCTCTCTATGCTCCCTCTCTACTTCCGCACACGTCAAAGTCCCAGTGTCCACCCCTTGCTGTGTATCCGCTTCACGCCTACCACCAGCAACAGGCTGAGACCCCCTCCTGCCTCGCCTATACCCACTCAACCCGACACCACCCCCCCCAATCCTCTTCTTCTCGCCCCCCTCTTCCGCGTTTCCAACTGAATCGCCATGCCCCTTCACTTCCGCTGTTCCAGTCTCCGCCTCGTGCTCCTCCTCCTCCTCCGCGCCTCCCCCCCCATGCCCATCCCCCTTCTTCACATCCCCGCCTACGCTTGCCAATGCGCGCCCACGGGCGGAAGCGGGCCCCTCAGCAGCAGCATCATGCTCGCCACGCGACGCCATCTCACCACCAAGCACGCCACGCGCACACCCGTCCTGCAGCTCCCCCGCCGCCTCCCTTATACCGCACTCGTCTCGCCCCGTCTTGCCATCCTTGCCCTTTTTTCTCTTGGCATGGTCCTCCTCCCCCTCCTCCTCCTCCTTTTCCTCTTCTTCCCCCTCTCCCTCCTCCTCCTCCTCATCCTCCTCCTCCTCCTCCTCCTCCTCCTCCACCTCTTCCTCCTCATCCTCCTCCTCCTCCTCTTTCTCCTCCTCTTTTTCCTCCTCTTCCTCGTCCTCCTCATCCTCCTCCTCCTCATCCTCATCATCATCCTCGCTTTCCTCCTCCTCCTCCTCCTCATCCTCGTTTTCCTCCTCACTCTCCTCCTCCTCCTCTTCATCTTCATCTGAATCAGAATCCTCTTCTACACTCTCTCGCCGACCGATGCTCCTTCCCTGCCCCCGTCCCCTTTCCCTTCCCCTTTCCACCACCCTTCCTCTTCCCCTCCCCACGCCCCTGCCCCTACCCCTAACTGCGCCTCTGCCTCTGCCCCTTCCTCTGCTCCTTCCTCTGCCTCTTCCCCCCCTCCCACGCCCCCTTCCCTCCATCTCCCCCTCCCGTTCCTTCCGCTCAAGACTGCCCCTGCCTCTCTTCTCCGCCACTCCCCTTCCCCCACCCCTTGTGCCCCGCGCCCTCCCTCCGCTTCCGCCTCTCCCCCGACCTCTGCCCGCAAGCGCCAATCCCAGCGCCTTCCCCCCCAGCAGTATCTGCTCCGCGGTCACCGGACCGTCATCGTCCATCCTGCCGCCCCTACCAGCGCCCCGCGCGCTGCTGCTGCTGCTGCTTCGGCCTTGCCCACGCCCTCGCGCGCCCCTTCCCCGCCTGCCACCCCTGCCACCCCCAGCATCCCGGCTCGAGCTCTCCTCCTGCCGCGCGCCGCCCCGCCGCGCTGTGCGCGACGCCGACATCACGGCGCGGGAAAGCGCAGCGCAGATCGACTCGCGGAACCTCTCCACTGACGGCCGCCAGCCGCTGGCTCACCGCGGCTGCGTCGCTAGTAGTGTCATTCTAATCGATAAAGTCCGCGCCGCGATTGGGGGACCTGGGCGGCGGGCACGCGGGTGGAATCGTTCAACATAATCGCTTACTTCGGCGTCCACGGGGCGGCTGAGCGTGGAAGGCGCAGAGGTGGCTGCGGTGGAGAGGATGAAAGAGGCGAAACGAACGCCAAGAATTAGTCTAACAAGAAACACAAGTTGATTGATGCGTGTCGCCTTGCGTGCTGCTGAGGTAAGCGGAAGGACAACGAAAGGGAGGGTTGCGTTGTTTTGTGTCGTGTCACGAGAGGTAGTTGAGAGGGAGGGAGCTTTTCGAGGGTACACGACACGACAGGACACCTCCGAGACCTCCAGTCGGTCGGTTGTCTGACACGTGTATTATCGCGCGTCCAGTAACCAGATCTGGTACAGTGCCCATAGGCCTGCTGCGTGAGCAGAATCAAACAAACCTTGAAGCAGCAAACCTGCACCAAGTGGACGCATGCAAGTCCTCAATCATTGACTGTAATTAATGTACTAACAAGGCTCGACGATGAACGTCGTAAGGGTTGCGTAGAATATGAATACCGGTACTTAAGATAACGCAACAAAGATGTATATTTTTTTTTCAAATCCACTTACGTTTATCTGTACCTTTCTCCCACCCTCTTCAGTCGTTTTTTATTATACGTATTGCATTTCGTCTCTATCTACACCGAATGCCCAATCATGAGGGTTTTGACGGAAGAATATAAGCATGTACTTCGTGGTTACTTACGGTGTAGAGAAATGATTTAGGACTAATATGGGGTATGTGGGTTTCGTTTTCACTTTCGCCGCGTTTTGTTGAGCTGACGAAAATGCTGATGCGTTTTAGTGTATCAGCTGAGTCAGCTGAATTTCACGTGCTCGTACATGCTGGAACGTAACGCGCTGAAGCTGGCGCTGGTTCTACGTATTGTTGCTCCAAAGCGCATGTTTCTTGCTCAACGTTTCTTGCTCCATCGATGCCCACTATCGCGATGAGGTCGAACACCATTCAAGCAACAGACTCCGTTTCTTGTTTCAGTCATCTCGTTCTTGCTTCTCTATTCTTGAATCTTATCAAAGCTTCTCGTTTCTACCAAGATTGTTCAAACTTTGGCAGAGCAGTACTAGGTTCAGTTTCGTTCTTTGGTAAATACCTTCAACAATAGTCTCCTCTACCGTGCCTCATCAATTGCTCCGGTAGGTGCTACTAGCGCTGGTGAGGCGTTTGGCGCCATCAAGGCTGGCGCCTTGAGGCAGGCGCCTTGGCGCCATTTTCGCTGGCGCCTTGGCGCCATTTCGCTGGCGCCTTGGCGCCTTTTTCGCTGGCGCCTTGGCGCCCTTTTCGCTGGCGCCTTGGCGCCTTTTAGCTGGCGCCTTTGCGAATTATTCGCTGGCGCCTTGGCGCCTTTTTCGCTGGCGCCTTGATCGCTGTAGGCACTGGCGCCAAAGCGCGAAGGCTGCATCGTCCTTGCTTCGTGTTTACTCACGTTTGTCACTCTCGCTGTTTCCCTCCCTTCTCATGCCCCATCCAGTCCTCTACACGTACACCTTTCTGTATTGTTGCACACCAATTGCTGATTTCGTGCCTCTTTCTTCCCCCCACCAATCACTTCCATGATCCATCCCCTCCTCTAAGCTTCTATTTTAAACTTCGTTGCAAGGTTAATTTTTAATTTCATAAAAATTTCACATCATTTATTCTCTCTAACCTCCCCTTTCCGATATGCCATTCCTTCTCCCCACTCAGCTTTGTCCCCAACAAGTGGCTAACATGGCCACCTTCCGCTTCTGTCCGCCCTCCGCCAACCTGTTCCCATGTGAGTTTCATATGCGCCTTTTTAGGCCACTTTCGCGTGAGCTAGTAGACGTAGCTGCGTGTGTGAGTGCGCGCAAAGGAGAGTAAGAAGATAAGTGTTTGAGTGAGTGCGAAGGTGCATGTGTGGCTGAGGTCAAGCGTGAATGCTTGTGTGAGCGCATGGATGAGTGTGGTTGAGAGCGTGAGTGAGTGCGAGACTGAGTGCATGGCTGAGTGGTGGCTGAGTGAGTGAGGGAGTGCGTGGCTGATTGCAATGGTGAGCGCGAGAGTGAGTGCGTGTGTGAGTGAGTTGTTGAGTGCGATTGTGAGTGTATGAGTGGGTGTGTGGCTGAATGCAAAGTTGAGTGTTTGGTGAGTGCGTGGGTAAGTGCGTAGGTGAGTCCGAGAGTGAGTGCAACGGTGAATGCGATGGCGTGACAAAGCGCGAGTGAGTGCTAGGCTGAGTGAGTGAGTGAGCGAGTGCGTGGGTGACTGCAAAGGTGAGTGAGAGGGTGAGTGCCGTCTTTCTGCGTGAGGGAGAGGTTGAGTGCAAGGGTAAGTGCGTGAGCGAGTGTGTGGCTTAGTGTGGCTGAGTGCGAGGGTAAGTGCTTGGCCGAGGATGAGTGTGTGACTGAGCGCAACGATGGGTAAGTGGCTGATTGCCTGGGTGAGCAAGTGTGTGGTTGACCGTGAGTGAGTGCGAGTGCGAGTGCGAGTGCGAGGTGAGTGCGAGGGTGGGTGCGAAAGCAAGTGCATAAGTGAGTGCGTGGATGCACGAGTGAGTGCATGGCTGTGTGCGAGAGTGGTAGAGTGAGAGAGTGAGTGAGTGAGTGGGTGAGTGAGTGGGTGAGTGCGTGAGTAGCTGAGTGCGAGAGCGAGGGTAAGCGCTTCAGTGGGTGTGCGGCTGAGTGTAAGGATGAGTGCATGTGTGAGTGTGAGGGTAAGTGCGAGCGTGAGTGCGTGCGTGAGTGCGTAGGAGAGAGCATGGCCGACTGCAAGGATGAGTGCGTGATTAAGTGCGAGAGTGTGTGCGTTGCTGATTGCGAGAGTGAGTGCGTGATGGGTGCGTGGCTGGCTGCGTGATTGAGTGCGTGGGTAAGTGCGTGGTATGGTGCATGGCTGAGTGTGTGGTCGAGTGAGTGGCTGAGTGCGTGGCTGAATGAGAGAGTGACTGCTAGGCTGAGTGAGTGAGCGAGTGCGTGGTGGAATGCAAAGGTGAGTGAGGGTGGGTGCTGAGTGTGTGCTCGAGGGCGGGAGAGAGTGCGAGAGTGAGTGCAACGGTGAGTGCAAGGGTGAGTGCAAGGGTGAGTGCGTGAGTGAGTGTTTGGCTTAGTGTGAAGGTGAGAGATTGGCTGAGAGAAGTGTGTGGCAGTCTGGAAAGGTGTGTGAGAGGGTGAGTGCATGGGTGCGTGAACGAGTGCAAGGGTGGGTGCGAGGAAAATGCGGGATTGATTGCACGATTGTGGAAGTGAGTGCGTGACTGAGTGCGGTGTGTGAATGCGTGGCTGAATGTGTGGGTGAATGCGAGGACGAGTGTGTAACGGAGTGCAAGTGTGAAAGCATGATTGAGTGCAAGGGTGAGTGAGTGATGGAGTGCGAGAGTGACTGCGAGAGTGAGTGCTAGGCTGAGTGCGTGGCTGAGTGAGTAAGTGAGTGCGTGGCAGACTGGAAATGTGAGTGAGAGGGTGAGTGCGTGCGGGAGTGCGAAGGTGAGTGCGTGAGGTGAGTGATTGGCTGATTGTGAATGTGAGTGATTGACTGATTGTGAAGGTGAGTGATTGACTGATTGTGAAGGTGAGTGATTGACTGATTGTGAAGGTGAGTGATTGACTGATTGTGAAGGTGAGTGATTGACTGATTGTGAAGGTGAGTGATTGACTGATTGTGAAGGTGAGGATTGGCTGAGAGTGAGGGTGAATGCGAGGGTGAGTGTGTGTCTGAGTGCGATGATGAGTGAGTGGCTGAGCGTGTGAGTGTGTGATTAAGTGCTTGGCCGACTGCGTGATTGAGTGCGTGACTGAGTGCGAGGGTGGATGCGTGAGTGAGTGCGTGGGTGCATGAGTGCGTGCATGGTTGAATACGAGGGTGAGTGCGCGAGAGTGGCTGAGTGGGCTAGCGCGTGGCTGAGTGACTGAGTGTGAGAGTGAGTGACTGGGTGAGTGCGTGGTTGAGTGAGTGAGAGAGTGAATGAGTGGGTGAGTACGTGGTTGAGTGAGTGAGAGAGTGAGTGAGTGGGTGAGTGAGTAGGTGAGTGCATGGAGCTATTTATGCAAATGAGTGTCGCTTCCTGCGCTGGCGCTTAGAGTGCCGGCTTCTAAGGTTTTGGCGCCTCAGACGCTCGTCAGGCTGGTGGCAACTAGTGAGCTAGCGCCTAGCACGCTCGCGCAGCGGGCTCCAACGTCTGGGCACAAGCACCTAGTGCTGAGCCCTGTGGAGCTCGTACCTGAAGCACTAGCGTCATGGCCTTGGACGCCTAGCTACCAAACCTGGGACGCTTACTGCTTAAGGCGGACGGGTGCGTTGCCGCGCGCTGGCGCCTTTCTAGAGCCCATCGGCACCTCGCAACGTGCTCGTGCACTACAGTGCACTGGCACGTTTCTGCTATGCGTTGATGCCTTCTGCAATGCATGTGAGGGAATGTGATTTGTATTTCTTGCTTGGCCTCCTGTAAGAGCATATCCTATTTTTGCTTTCTTGTACGCAGTGTATGAACATCCACTGATTTTTGTGCAAGGTGTGTTTTGCTTTCTTTGTTCTTTCTTTCTTGTGCAGGGCGTGTGTGTGTTGACTTCCCTGTTTTCTCCTGGGCGTGTGTGTGTTGACTTCTCTGATTTTGCAGGGCGCGTGCGTGAGCTGAGAAGGGAGATGAGGGAGTGGGATGGAGATGAGGGAAGGAGGGAGGGAGGGCTGTAAGGTGGGATAGGTTAGCAATTATTTATTCTGAATTTTATTTATGACGGTTGTGTGTTTATTACGGTATGTGTATCTCTCTGTGCTTGTTTGCGTGTGTGTACATGTCTGTTCGTTCTGTTTGTTTCACTGTGGGGTTGCTCTTCGATCCGTTCACAACTGTTACGTGGTGTTGGACATTTTTTACGTGCGTTTG